ATGTAGGGATGCTTCAAGATGAGTCTGTGTTAAAATTCATCTGGAGATATATGAGAAGGAGCCTGTATAGGGATGCTTCAAGTCATATTCTACCTTCAAGTCACGAATGACAGACATGCTAATCTAACTCTTCAGGTTTAAGAAGATTGAATAGGGGCAGCTGTTGTACCCCAAAATTTTCCCTCCCACTTTCTTCAAGACATTCTCATGAGGTCCCCATTTGCTCAAAACTACTCAAGAGTTGTATGGTCAAAACCACCTTCTAAGCAAGGGTCTTCAACTAGAGTTTTGTGCTTCTCAAGGAATATTGGGTTGCAAGGTTCTAAAATGACTTTCATGGTTCATCATAGGTCCTCAATAGTGCTTATATCAAGTTTCAAGTCTTGCAGCACAAGTTTGCTCAATCAATTGCTCAGATGATTGAAAATCACCTATATTGAATAAAAAGTCAACTATGGTCAACATACAGTTAAAATTCAAGATTTTTGGTCAACATTAACATTTTGAAGTAATATTCACCATTGATCAAAGGTTGATCATGATTCCTCAAGGAAAGCCCTTAAATCATCAAAGGTCAAAAATTGCCAAATTAGGGTTTTGATTGAAGATGACTGATCATTGACTTTTGGCCTAGTGCATGACCTAATGGCTTAAAGCATGATCTCAAGGGCTCAAATACAACATGTTGACCTAATTTTATGGCTCAAGACATTTCCAAAGATACAAGTGATTGATGGTTGAAGAATTGAATCAATTGATAAAAAGTCAACAGTCACGTAAAAGTCAAACTTTGACTTTTTGGTCAACATTGGAATTCAAAAATCAAGAATCATCAAAACATTCAAAATTATCAAGTTTGATCATCAAGAATCAACAAAGTCAAGAAAATTAAGAAAAAGTCAACAAAAGTCAAAAGTTGGAAAATTTTCCAACACGTGAAAAATTTTCTAAGTGTTTTGTTCTTAATAAAGTCACTACTTTATGGCCATTTTTCACTAAGATACAAACTGATTCAAGGAAAACTTTCAACATGAAAGTTATAGGGATTAATGAATTCTACAACTTTGTCAATGAGGGTTGATCTCCAAAAAGTGCTTAAATTAAGCGATAGGAACCCATGATGTTGTGATATTTTTATCTAACACTTAGAAAAAATTTCAATAAGTTTTGATCAGTTTTTCATCTCAACTTCTTGGCAAATTTTCACCAAGTTCCCATTTGATTCAACCAAATTGGTCAACATGAAAGTTGAAGATCATGATTCAGGCTTTGCAAAATGTCCAAGAGCACAAATTTATCATGCTTGAGTTAAGAGATTCGAAGAGATGAAGTTTGACATTTTTACTTGAGTTAGATGTCATTTCTATGATAAACATAAGACCAAATCCTCATGCCATGCTTAGAGATCTCACTTTGCAGGTCTCTAAAATCCTAAATTGCAGGCCTCTAAAATCCTAAATCTTGTCATAATTAGAAGATCACAAACTCTTTTTAGGTATTATCCAAGTATTCAAGCCATTGTCCAAGTGATCATTCCATTAATGGTACAAAGGCACCATTGCCATTTTCATAAAACAAACTTTAATCACAAAGTCAACTTCTTAAGCTCCCAACTTATTACATCTGAGTACAAGCAATCTCAAAAGCAAGAAGCAAGCTCCCTGCACCCAGCAATTCCAAAGCATACTTGTACTTCTCCATTGGAACCACCATTTTCACATAAACTTGATTTTTCACTTCCAACCAAGCCATAACTTGTTATCTCAAGGATCTGATTACTTCAACCTCTCAAACCTTTTTCCTATAAATAGAGAGTTCATTTGCAAGTCAACACATGAATTGACAAGCCCTCAAACCCTCCCAATCTCTTGCAAACTCGAATTAGCCACAAAACCTCCATTATTGAGCTTTGAAATCCAAAAATTCGAAACTCATAACTACTGTAATATCTTTGCAAACCAACCACTAAAACATCATCAATACACCATATAGAAGTGATCCAAACACCCATTTCACTTCTGTAATCACTCCATCATCATCCACAATTTTCAAAATCTAACCTTGTAACTTGACTTGGGTAGAACGTTTCATCCATCCTCAAAACAAAGTAGGGGTTGGAATACACTCAGGGAGGTCCCAACAAGCTAAAGAGATCATCATCTTGCTTCTGGAAGTGCTGGAAGAAACGTTGAACTTTCTTTAACTTGGTAGATTTTTAAACTTTGAAATCCTTGTTTAAGCATCATTTGCATATACATTCTAAAGGGAAAATGTAGATATCATGTATATGAAGCTAACCATATCCTTAAATCTCATTTTAATTAAATGTGTGATGGGAATTTTGAAACTGAGTTTTCTGAAATGTTAGGGTTTCAGTTTGATACCAAACAAAATTCGTCCTAACCGTTGATTTATAGCTTTTAAAATTTATATGGTTGCATTCCTTGTAAAAAATAAAGCAAGTTTGGTTTTGGAAGTTTTCAATTTGGTTGAGAAATGGAGATTTTCAAAATCAATAATGGTGTTGTTGTTACTGCTTGCGCGCGGGGGAAGAAGAAGGGTGAGCTGACATTTTCAAATTCTCATGACTTGGCTTACAATATATTTATTGGGTGTTGTTTCATAATCGGATGAAACAGTCACCCCAGTGGCAGCGCGCGTGTGTTTAAGGCTTACCTATGCTTGGTCCTGGATTCGATCCAGGCGTGGGGCAATTTTTGTTTTCTCATGTTTTCATTGCATATTCAGTACAATTAGGTCCATCGCGTGCATGGTGTGCCTCATCCAATGACCATCAGATCTCAGAGTTTCAGATCTAAACGCCCCAAAGGCACATCCACGATACACCTCAGAGGGGTCACCTCAACTGGATCCAGCACAATAATCTGGGCTCTCTGATTTGGGCCTGGATATTTTTGCTTCTTTCTCACCCCCATCTTACCTGTTTGGAGGCCCATTTTAATTGTTCTTTATTTTGTTTTAATTAACATTTTCTTTTCTTAATTAGTTTTATTTTAATCAACAAAAATCATAAAATGATTAAAAAAAAACCAGATTTAGGTTTTAATAAATTAATTTAATTTTTTATAAATAAAAATTAATTTAATATAATCATAATTTATTTTTATTTTATTATTTAGTTTATAAATTAATTAAATAATCAAGTTTTATTTTTATTAATCACTTCAAATATTTTTCTAGACAAAAAATAACAAAAATATTTTCTTAAATACTTAAATTTTTTAGGGTTTTTGCATCTTTCCCTTTTCCATCTCCACGTATTTATTTATTTTCCGCCTTATTATCATTATATAACTGTCAATGGTATGTAATAGATAAATTATGATTTCTTTACATCCCCCCCCCCCCCCCCCTCATTTTATGGTTTGTAATTCCCCATCCCTGAAACGATGTAATAGCGTAGATTATTTTCCGCATTTTTTCTGCACTTCTATATATTTAACTGCTAGATTAATTAGGTGTGCATGGCAAAACATAAAAAAATAAACGCTAGAAAACCTAATCTCAAGACAAATACTTGAAATCAAAATACTTCACACACGCGCACCTCTAAGGTTACCCTCACTTATTGCCTTAAGATAAAACAGTCATGTTCCTCGAACGTGGGATGCTTTAGCAAAGACTCTCGGTTAAAAGATCGTAGTCCCTTGATGACCCTTCGATGCTGCCTTCGGTAAAAGATCTTAGTTCCTTATGACAATTGCTAAAGCGCCCTACAAGTTTCCTTCTATGACTGTACGATGACCCGCGCCTGTCCCTCACATCAAACGATAGGGATTTCTACTAACTAATGGTAGGGTAGCACCATCTAAAGGAGGAGAAAAAGAACAAAGACTTCTTTGAGTAGGTAGAACGCTCGTAGTCGCTTGCTCACAAACTTTTCAAAACAAAACATCTTTTCACAAAACAACACTTTCTTCCACAAATATTTTCGAAACAAACATTTTGTATACATTCCCAAAGATACGAGAATCATTACAAAATTGCCGCACTTAGGCATTTTCAAAATATTTTCAAACATACACAAGCACGAAGCATTTCCAAAAAATGAGCTAGCGATTAAGAGTCCATAGAAAACTACGGATGCAAAGAGTGTTAACACCTCCCTTTTCATAACCTACCCCCCTTATTCAGAAAATTCTCAAAAGGTCTTTCCTGTTTTTTTCACCATTTCTTTTATTAGATGAAAAAAAGTCGCTGGCGACTCTTGCTATCCGCAACATTTGCGATAAAACGCAAAACCCAAAAGTCAGTTCTCCCACCGTATTACACCCCCATCTCGCTTTCAACCCCTACTCGACGTAAGCCTTGACGACCCATTCTGCTCAGGTACAACCAGTAACATTAGAGAGAATGCAGACATATATGCTAACGGTATATATATATATATATATATATATATATATATATATATATATATATATATATATATATATATATATATATATATATATATATAGGTTGGCCATTTGTTCAATTTATATATTTTTTAAAATTTCTATTAAATAATAATTTTCATATGAATATGAATTTTTTTAAAAATTAAATTAAAATTAATAAAATTTTATTTATGTATTCAATTAATTTTTTTTCACCATTAAAAATAATGACATTACAGTGTAACACACTAATAGTCGTACGAACGCATGAATTATTATTTTTGATAAAATAAATTTGTTTTCCTTATTTACATTTTTATTATTTTAAAATAATTATATTATTGATTAAGATATATTGATATAGCGAAATATATTAAAATCAATTTATTATATTTTTAAAAATAATAAATAATTTTGGTTAAACAATTTTGTCTTTTTTCTATTTTTTTAAATTATATTATTAAATTTTGAAAACAAAAACTTCGAACTCATACGAACTCATGAATATTTCTCTAATTTTAAAAATATTAATTATTGCCGACAAAGTTTCAAAAGTTAAACCCTTTTATTTTATTTATTTTTGAGTAAAAAAACCTTTGTATTTGTAACTTCAAATTGTGTCAAAAAAGTAATAAAACAACCGTCACCGTTACAACTCTCCGCCGCATCGTCCTCACCATTCCGGTCGCTACTCTCCCGCGCGACACTCTCTCTCGTCCCTCAACCTCGCACTTGCACGGCGTAGTCACCGGTACGTCAGGCGCAACCCACTGCTTCAATTGTTCTGCATCAGATCCCTTTTCCGGTAACTCTTTCCTCCCTCTCGTTATTCGTTTTTAACTCCAAATTCAATGAACACTAGAATCGTTTTCATATTCTACCTTGTTGCTAATGGTGTTGGTTTTTGGTTTGTCAAGATTTTTACAACGGTTTGGCATAATTTTAGATTTAATTGAATATGATTGTGCTTGTTGGATGCAAAAGTACACATGGCTTAGTCAGTGATTTGCAATTCAAACCTATAAAGCACTAACACCGGAGACACTACACCCACACTGACACATCAACACCGGTAATAATATGAAAAAATGAATAAACCGTCACGTCGACACCGGTAATTGAACTACACTTTTTTGTCTTTGGATCAGATGGTTTTTTACCCCCTAAACTGATCCAAACTGGGAACACCCCCTAGAAACAAGTTGGAGTCCCAATGAACTGAACTGCCCGAAAAACAATGGCGGGGTTCGCAGTTGACAGTAGGAAACAGTGAAAAAGTCATCTAGGTGTTCCTTTTTTATTTTTATAACAATTATCAATTTTGTGGTTGCGTTTGCCACAACAGAGAATTGCATTGCAGCAGATATCTGCACAGTGATCCTTCGATTGAGCGATAAAGTGACGCGAATAATGATTCATTTTTGTTTTGATTTTATGCTTATTTGTTCATTTGATTGATTATTGTTTGATTTGATTATTGTTTGTCCTACCTCTTCTGTTTTTCCATTGAGATAAGGAACAATATTAATTTTCTTATTTGATCTGGTTGAGGACTTAGAAACTTCTTTTTATCTAGCATTCTTCTTCCAAAAATTAATAGAATTTGAGTGGTGTTTCCCAACCTTTTTGTGTATCAACAGGGATAGGTAAATATGATTTTTATTTTCATGTTAATTTCACAAGGCAACAGTGTTTCTTTTACTGTTAATTTACACCGAAAAGGACCGGTCTTTGGTGGCAAGGAGATCGAATCAGTTGTGAATTACTAGATTTGAGTTACTTTAATTCCAAAGAAAAAAGGTAGGGGGAGTATTCTTTCTCATTTCTACCTTGGAGTTTGTAGAAAAGTAATTTTTTGATATAGAATTTGTGATTGAGGTAGTGATTTTACGTATATGTATAGTAATTCTAAAGATTTAACTGAAATACTTCTACTATGATTTATGAATTTTCGAAAATATATTTTAGCTTATCACCATGTTGCATGATTTGAGTGCTATTTCTTTATTATTTTAATTTAAGAAAACTATCTGTGAGTGGAGAAAATGTTGAACTTGGTTGAATAAACATCGAAGGTTGTATATCTCATTAAAGGTGCTTGCATAAACTTGAGCTTTGGTAAATCTATGAATTTTGGGAATCTCTTTTCTTTGTCGTACTTTAGTCCTCATGCTTGATTTTTTTTCTTCTGTTCTTGACCTTGAAATATTAGAGATGTTACGGAATGTGTGCCGTTTTAAGTAGGAGTGATTGATGAATGAGCTGGTTATAGTTTGATGATAGAACTATGCTGTAAAATATTGCGGTTGTCCATAAGTTTAGGCTAGGTAAACACTTTTCTCTTGGGTGTATGTTCGGTCTTCACTTTGATGTCGATTTAAATAGTGTAAGAGTTTTAACTATGATTAATTATAGAACTGTGTCTAGCTTAGCTTGTGTACTGAATGAAAGTTGTTGGACAATGTTTTTGGACTCCTTAAAATGTTGCTTAATTAAAATAGGAAAAATCTTGCTTATGACGCATTAAGATATTATTATCATAGTTAAATAAAATAAAACAAAACTCAGATTGTTATGGCATGATTATTGTGAAAACTTCTATTATAAAGAAAAGTTTATTCTTTTACTTTTTTAGTTATTATTATCTTGTAAAAAAAATTATGTACTGTTTAGAAATTTAAATAACCGCATATAGTATTTTAACTGCATTTTTTGAAACTTTCATAGATAGTGTCACATTTAGTAATGGTAATTTTCAGATTTTTTCCTTTAGCTTTTTAAGCCAAATTTTAATATATATCATTAGAATACTACTAAAGAAATTAGTTCATTGACATTAGTTAATCTATGTGGTTCCTATTTTGCACATCCCTGATAAAATGTAGTTCGCAACTGTAATAAAATGATGTATAACTCTGTTCATGCTTTTAAGCACATATTAATTCTTCACTTTAAAACATGTTGAAGTGATTTCATTGTAATTTTAGACGTTCGATTGTGCTAAAATATTTGTTAGCTTTACTACATAAGTTTTACCGCTGAATATGAGATTATTATTTTCAGCCTGTTATTTGATTCTTGTTTCTTTCTCTGATTATGTTTGATTTATGAATTATTTGTAAAATTGTTAAAACATTACAGGAATGGGAATTAGTAAAACAGAAGTAAACTTGAAGAGATTGCTTGCAGCTGCTCCTCAGCAGCAAAACCAGGCAAAACTTGTACATGTATGTATGCAAATTAGCTTTGACGATATTTATTTTAGAGTAATTACTGTTACGTCAGAAGAGGAAGCCTGGCACAACAGTTGAAGTTTGTGCTCTGTGGTTAGGATGTCACAGGTTTGAATTATATGAAGTCAACCTTTTGCAAATATATGCAAGGTTGCCCACGATAGATTAAAAAATAGATCAGATCATTTTTTGGACCCCATTATGGCTGGAGGTTAAGGTTTTGTTTGGATGAAGGGTTTTAAGGAGGGGGGTGTTTACATTTTTGTCAATAAGTTAAGGATACTGTAAAATATTTTTAAAAATGAATTGAGTAAGAATGAAGTATTATATGATCATTTCTCATATTGTTCTTTCAATTGTTTAAAAATATCGAATACATATCAAAATATAGCTTAGCCCTCCAAAACCCGACTCCCAAACATACCCTTTTTTAGGTTTATGTTGATTTCAATTACCTATAACTTATTTGCTAATTTTATTGAAATAATGTTCTGTTGATTTGCAGTATGTTGCTACTTTGCGTGAACAACTAGAACAATTGGCTGAAGAGAAGACACCAGAAGGCTTGCCAAGGTAGTATGTTTCTTTATTTACAATCTCATATATCTAGAGAGAAATAATATTTAACACAAAAATTTAACTTCAAATTTGACAAATAATTATGTGGTTAGCGCAGTACAAATATGAGGTTAACACAATTCAATTGACGGTTAATAAATATAAAAAGGTGTTGCAGCTCATTAACCATATACTCAACAAAAAAAACCTATTCTCTTGTTCATCATTGAACCATATGCAGAAAAAGTTACAGCCAGAATAGGTTTGGAAGAGATAACCAATCTGTTAAGAATTTGAATTATAAAGGAGTGATGTAAGGGAAAAGAATTAATCTTGTTAAAATCTGAATTCAAAAAATTTGGTGCACTACAAATTCCTAAAAAACTTCAACACGCTCCTCAAATTGATCCGGAGATATCTATTATGACTTTATGCCCACATGATTGCAAGAATTTCAAAATTAGCTAGTAATAGTCCTTTGGTTAGGATATTTGCCTCTTGTTTTACAGTTGGAACAAATGGTGTACAAGTAGCTACACCATCTATCTTTTTCTTTATTAAATTTCTGCAAACTTCTGCATGTATAATAGGCATCCCTGATTTGTCAAGAATTATTTTTAGACATGACATCTTGCATACTCCATGAGCTATTTCTCTATATTCCACTCACCTTTCTGCCACATTTTGTTTTTTGCTTTTTCATTTGACTAAAACCTTGAGCAATAAGCTCACGTAGACTTCTCATCCATGATAGGTCCTGTACAGTCAGTATTTAAGTAGACCTTAATGATCTGTTGTGTGGTTTTATTTTATTAAAGAAATTATCTTTGCCATGGACACCTCAAATTTTCTAAAATTCCATATATCGGGTTAAGATGTTCACCATTGGTGAATCTATGAACTGACTAGCTAAACTCACTGCAAACAAAATACCGGGCCAATGAGGCCATGCATCTTGTTCCCTCAAAGCTTTTGATTAAGGTCATAAGAGTATTTGCCGGCCTACTAACACTCATCTTGTTAGGCGCTCAAGAATTGAATTCCAAACGAATTCCCCAAAAACTGGTTAGAAGTGATAAATCAAAAGATTAATTCCCAGATTTGCTGCTGGGGTTAGAAAAGCTTAATAGCCTAGGCTTTGTATCTAGTGAAAATTTCTCGAAGTAGTAGATACCATAAATTTGAGTAAAGGCCATGACAACCGATCAAGCTTCATGTCTTCTAAAGAGGATGAGATTTTATTTCTGAATGACCATTGTTTGGGTTTAAACATGTAAATGTTAAGAATTATTATTTAGTGAAATTTCAGGATTAGGATTAGATGGAAAGGAAAAAGAGAGAAGATCCACTAATTAGAATATAAGATTTTGAATAACTACTGGAATATAAAAACCTAATTCAGTATTTCTATATGTAATAAATCCTATTCTAAGTCAAGAACAAGTTTAGAGTTATATTTACATAAAAAATCATATTGCAACAATAGTCTTAAAATTCAAACCATACTTAAAGGTCTAGCAGACTATAGTATATCTATGGACTCTTGTATTTACAACGAGTTCTCCTGGAAATATGACTCTCGTTGAACATAAGTTGTACTATTCCTTGTTTTCAATTCTTTGAGAAGATCTTGGACTTATAATGATTACATTTCTTTAAACTGATTGGGCAGTTTATTTCCTCTTTTACCTTCTCAGATCATTGGTAATCCATGATCTAAAGCTGTTATATTCGTACTATATGTTTCTCTACTGGATATGTGCATTCCTTGATGTTTGGGTATGACCGGTCTTGCAGGCTCTCAAAGGCTACATTGAACGATTATTCAGAGAAGATTGAAGCCATTGCTTCAAAATTGGTTCATGTGGTATGTATTTGTTAGCTATTGCCTATTGTATCTTGGAAAATTGGTTCATCAACAAATAGCTTAGCTAATATTATTTCACAGCATGATTGTTTTATCCCCTATCAAAGCTTTGCTGTAAGTGTAGTATTAGTAATAAAAAAATTCTATAGCAGCCAGATATGCCCTTTTCAGCCAAAAAAAGTTGTTTTAAGTTAGTATTTATTATTTCTTTTTGCAATATATGAGTTTCAAATACATTCTAAAATAAAAACATTTTACTTAACTTGTAGGTGCGCAGATTGCATAAATTTAATGAAGAAAATTTATTAGTGCTAGTGTTAGTGCTAGGTTTTAAATTTAATGAAGAAAATCACTTAAAAATCCTACTTGGTATGACAAAAAGATTAAAAAAAACATGGAAATAGAAGGCCCCATTTATTTTGGGGGAAAGGGCAATAGAAGAGGATTCTGAATTGTTGGTACTTGGTGTTGTAAAACCAAACATTAGCTTAGTGGTAAATGTTTGGTTTCTGCAGGGATTCTTTAAACCTTTGCGAATTCGTTTTCTTTATTTATTTCTCAGCTCTTTTGTTTGTATGTTTGTAATGCCTGGCTCGAATTCATTTTAATGGCTTGAATTATTGGCACATGATTGGAATGAATCACAAGACAATGCAATTTGCTCCATTGTTTCTTATTCATATAACCATTTAAATTTCCAGTCTGACATAGAAGTATCTGAGAAGGACATTGAAAGAAATGTTAAAGAAAACCCTTCTGAAATTGAGGAAAAAAAGCCGGTGTCACCTTCTGGATTGCGAAGAAGGCCTGTGTAAGTTAATGTTAACCTTTTTTACCGCTGCTTGTATTTTGTAGGCTGTTTTGCCATTACTCATCTGATTCATTGGACAGAGCTGCCTTAAGTACTGATGATAGGGCACACGATCCTGCTGAGACCGATCACTTATCATCTGTTAAATTGGATGCCGCAGGACATGCACATATTGAAAAGCACAGGTACATTTGAAGTTTGTTTATACCCATACTCTCACAGTTGCTATTAAATTATATGCAAAAATTTATTAGATAGCCAATTGTTGTTGTCATTTGTGTTTGCTCTCTCAATGCTTGTACTTTGTTGAAATTTTTATTCAGAAAGCTTCAAGATGATTTGACAGATGAGATGGTGGTGTTGGCAAAACAACTCAAAGAGAGTAGTCTCATGATGAGCCAATCTGTTAAAAACACCGAAAAGGTCTGATTCTCATTTTCATTCTCTCCTTCATGTCTAATTGATAATTGATTGTGTCATGTATGAGTTGATTTTAAAAAATGTATCTATTCAGGGCAATGTTTCATACCAGAAAAATATATTTCTCTCAATTGAAGTTTTATTGTAATTATTTTTAACAAATATTATCTTATATGAAATATCTCTTGTGCGGTTAATGAATGATGGGTTGGTTGCAGATACTTGATTCTACTGAGCAAGCCATTGAACATAGTTTGGCGAGTACAGGCCGTGTCAATGTCAGAGCAAATACAATATACTCAGAGAGTTCCAAGACTTCTTGCTTAACATGGCTTGTGATGTTTGTGATGCTATTTGTATTTATCATGGTTATTCTTCTAATCCGCGTCACATAGCGTGCGCAGTTAACATTTCATGGGGTAAATTAAATTACTTTAAGTATAGCTTTTTCCATAGTGTAAATTAGATATTTATATATTATAGACATTATATCATGCAATTTATGTTTGATTGTTTTTTTGAAGGACATGCATTTTGTTCATACATTTAAAGTATAACAACTGTAAATCAAAAATTTTAGATAATCAAACACAATTTTTGACTTTTTAGTATTTTGTTGTGAATTGCACTTTCTCGTATTATATCATATAAATAAAGCATGTCTATGTTGGACTTGTTGTATCACATCAGTACCTATGCATTCTAAAGCAAATCAGTGAAAGTTTTCTTTTTCTTTTTCTAATCAAATGTTAGTAACATTAGATAAATTGTAGATGAAATAAAGGTGATAATGATGTTGATTTTGGAGGCAAAAAATGTGAGATAAAGTGAATTATGAGAAAGATAGAGAGAAAGTTAGAGGAATGGAAGTTAGAGGATCCAAACCCAAATGTGTTTATATGGGATATGGATTTCCTGCCTTTTTTTTCCTTTTCTTTCATACGGGATATGGATTCCATCCTCCTTTTGTTTCTTTTTTCTTCTTTTCTTTCATCCTCTTTTTGTTTCTTCTTCTTTTCTTTCGTCTTCATTATTGTGTTGCTTCAGACACCATTGGAGAAAACAAATAAATAAAATTAAAGTTTTTTTTAATGAATAAGTGATATAATAAAAAATCTACATATATGCTAATATGATAGAATATTTGGGCATGAAGATTAAAAAATAAAGTTGTAGAGTAATTGAAAACAACAAATTGGAAGAGAGAAATTCAATTGAAAATGACTTAGTGGAAAAAGGGCGAGTAATGTTTGCGTGAACTCCTGATGTTTGGACAAAGATAGAGGAAAAGGGGTGCATTTCCTTCATGTGCTTTGGCTTATAGGTATGGCAACAAACACATCAAAAATAGTTCTTCATGTAAATTGTGTAAACCAAATAAGGCAATATTCGTACTTCCAACTTTCTAAAGAGTTGTCAGAGACTTTTAAGATTATAGTGTTATAGTAAGATCACGCAGGAAAGGTGAGAAGATTCGTTCTATGGTGTTTTCAAAGACAATTGAATCTTCTCTCAACCCCAGAATTAAGGTATTTAAGGAGTCCCTTAGGCTTGAGTCTTGGGCCCCAATAAGGCAATATTCATACTTCCCACTTTCATGACTGTGAGAAGTGGGTAGTTACTTTCCCTATTTCTTGGGAGAGCGTAACTTCCCCTTTGACTCCCTCTTTAATACTGTGATGGATAAGGACGCATCACTTCCTACGTTTTCACAAATAGACGAGTAATCCAGGAAATGGGCGACATCATAAAGAAAAGGGCGTGGGTGTTCACAGTGATTTCTGGTAAACAACCGCTAGTCTTCCAAACTATCGAATAAACTTAATTACTGTTATTCAATTTCTCTGGTAACTTGCAGGATCGACTAGATTGATCCTATGGGACATAGTTGTTTGGCTAAATTTAATTGTAAAATTGGTATTCATATTTAAGACTTCTAATTAAAGTGTTTCAAAGACATCCAATCCACTTTGATTACTACACTAAATGATTCGAAGGATAATTTCTATATGATATAAGGAATGTTCATTAGAAAAATAAAAAGACTTAAGATTGGGTAAATGGCAGGATTAAGTGAGTGAATGTAAAAGTTGCTGAATGTTTAAAGGATTCGAACATAAGAAAAGTGTTTAAATGCAGAAAGAAATAAATGACTCTGAATGTAAAAGCTTTAACGTAAAGGCATGAACGTAAAATGTTTGAGGCACAAATGAAATGGAAATGAAAGACAAAACAGGAAAATATAAAAAGTTTTCATTGAATTGTAAATGTTGGTGTTATCATACGTACATCTTTCGAGCATTCGTTTCCCTATCCATGCGGTATTTTGAATGTTTACTGAATTTGTACAACAAATATGACACACTCTAAATCTTAACACTAAGACCTCTATTTATACTACTTCGACCATAACGGTCTTGCTGTCAGAATCTGCCACGTTCGAAGCATGCAAAGCATTACTTCCCTCTAGCCTCCACGCGTCCTCGAACGCTCCAACGCTTATGTATTTGAATTTCCAATATCCCGCTCACGTTTGAATTTCAAACGCCTTGGAACCTTCGTTTCGAATTCGTTTCAAAGGTTATTTTCGAAAACAACCTTCACAAATATAACCTCATCATTATTTCGAAAATTCTTTAGACTTACACTCCACAACTATCATTCGAAACCTTGAACTTTAATATTTCCATTTGAAAAAACAGTCTCTTCCATTCCAAACCATAAAACTTGCTTTATTCAAACAAAGCCCAATCATTTCATTTCAAATCACAATATCAAAATCTTCAGCCAACAAAATGCCTCTTTAAAATATGTATTTCGAACCCTTTGAGAAATACTTATTTTAAATAGATTCACAAGATTTTGATAGGTCTTTTGAAGAATCATGACATTTACTGTGCATGACTTTACCCACGTCAATCAAGACGCCTCTTTGAGTACCTAACCGTCTTGGACCAGTTACCACAGCATGGTGCGGTTTTAAAAATAATGATTACTATTAATCACACTCATTACCAACACTAGATCTTACGCCACCTCTCTCTGAATCCAACCAACGACTTCCACGTACCCCTAGTCTTATTTAGTGGGTGTTTACACTCACTCTTCCACACTCTCGATAAAACTCATCAGTTTAGTCTTTTCTTCTTTTTCTCCAAAATTCTGAAATCCCCCTCTTTTTCACTAAACCCTAAAACTTCCAGCAATTCTTAACAATGTCTTCATCGACATCATCACAATTGAAGAAATCATCAAAGAGGAAGAACAAGAACAACAACACGGAAACTGTCATGGAGAGCAAGGTGGGTATTTATCAGAATCAATCTGTGCTCAATCCTCAAGCGATTTCCAAAGAGAAAGAAATGTTGTATGCTTCTCAGGTATTAATCCCTACCGTTGTTGCTGGAAAAAGGTTTGCCCTAATGGGTCCTTTAACCGTTTTTGAAATTCTGAAAGATACTAGGAAATTTTTTCCCGTTTGCTATAAATTCAAACCCCTATTCAACAAGATGGATGCCCCTAAGGCAGGAACTGAAGACATAAGCGAATCATCTGATTCGAAAACAACTGAAACTCCAGTCTCACCTCCAAAAGATCCTTTTATTTTAGATTACATCAAAAGAAATTTCAAACCATTTTGATCCTGCCCCACTTCAGATGTAGCATATCAAAACTGGCTCACTAAAGTAGAATCTAAAAAATCCCAGCAATGGGAAGAATTAGGAATTTATAATTTAATCAAACTGTCGAAACCAGGCTTTACTTACAGTCACCCATTGCTATTTGCTTCATTGTACTTCTGGGACAGCACTTATAACATTTTCCACCTTCCGGGCGGAATGATAACACCCACCTTCTTTGATATAGCTGCCATCACTGGTCTTTCACCAGTGGGGGAACTTATATTCCTAATAACGAAGAACATTCTAGCATCATTGACTTCGATGTCAAACTAGCTAGTTTTTCAAAATTCATCATCCATTATCATACTGAAGGGGATGATGTCTCAGACGTAGAACATATCGCTTTCCTTACCTTGTGGCTATCACGATATGTGTTCTGCAGCAGATCCTTGCAAGTGGCGAGTAGGTTCATTCCCCTAGCCAGGGATTTCCATGAAAATAGGAAAGTCTGCCTGAGTGAACTGCTACTTGTCGATCTTTATGAGAGCTTAAGGTCAGCAGTTTCTGGTTTAAAATCCCATGCTCCAAAGAACATTCTTCTGGCTGGACCCTTTTGGTTGCTTCAACTATGGCTTAATGCCATGTTCGAATATTCTTTATCAACCGCTGATACTATCATCGAACAAGATCCAGAAATAGCTGACAGGATCATCGAAGGCACAAGGCTTCAAAAGCTTACTCCAAATGATGACAAGGATGATTTCAAAGTCCATTTTTCTAAATACATCATGATCTTCTCAAAAAGACACAAGTTCGAAGAGTCTATGGCACCTTTTGCTCAAAGGACTTGTGGACCATCATGGTTCACAACGTCTCTCTCAGAAGCTGTCAAGAGCAGAGAGATGCAGGACATTTGGAAAGCGTTTCTTCTTCCTAGGCTAATTTCCTCAAGAATTACTCCAACAAAGAATCAGATTTTCCTCCTGGCTTATCAACCCAATTTCGTTTCTCGACAATTTGGCCTGTGCCAATTAATTCCTGAACCTTTGTTCCAAACACAAAGTGCCATAACCTCAGGCAAAACGTTCAAAGCAAGAGAGGCCAAATTACAACAGGAGCAATATCAAGATTTTGCTCAGTTCGAGCTTTTACCTTTCGAGCCAACATACTTCACAGCAAAAGGATTTCTTGAATGGTGGACTAAGTTCTACCAGACATATATGTTTGACACACTCACCATTCAACAAAAGCTAACTGGCGCGTTCAATGTGCAGGTACACTCCAAGAAAGGTATGTTCACTCATGTCAAAGAAATTAGGGCTTTTCAAAATTATTTCGAAACCACTTATGATCCCACACACTTGGGAACCACTGTACATCGAGCGGCCGAGACCTTGAAGGAAAAATTTAAAGAAAAAACTTCTAAGTTCAAACTTCCTTCAGGGTTGTCATCTGAGGATAGGTATAGGTTGGCACTCGAAATACATCCACCTAAATTTCCTAGGTTGCCCACCTCAGAACTGGCTCTGGCTTGGTTTCCTCCATACCCTTGGTGGTTTACTTGCAAAGAAATGTTCAAATACCAATCTCGAAAGAAACTAAAGCCATCTGAGACTGTGACATGGGCTCGTTACTGGCTTCATAATTTCCCAGTACATCTTCGCTATGACCTTCCTGCCATTTCGATTACATCTAATCAAGGCACATGTGCGAATGCTTGGGAAAATTCCAATTGTATCCTAATTCCCTTATCCTTAACATTTTACCTTAAT